GGTAACTAACTACACTCTCCCATGAAACAGAACCACACACACACACCTGACACAGGTAACTAGGTGCGCCCATGAAAGACAATCACACGCGCCCGAGACAGGTAACTACAGGCAGGTGCCTTGCAGGTGAGTACTAACAAGATGTACCTGCCCTCCTGGGACCTGGCCAGAGCCCAGCCCCTGATCGGCACGCCCCAGTACAACCAGCAGAGAGAGGTGGTGATTCGCAGTGCCCTGGCACCTGGACATTACATCATCATCCCTTCCACCTCGATGGCCAATCAGGAGGGAGAGTTCGTCCTGCGCGTCTACACTGAGAAGGGCAACAAGGCAGTGTGAGTCTGAGGGAGGGGAGAGGGCTAGCAGGGGGTGGGCGAGCAGTCAGTGAGAGTCCCAGCACATGTGACTAGGACCACACAGGGAAGGGGCAGAAGAGCAGGTCGTGGGGCAGCTGAAAGCCGAAATGAGGCAGATAAGCGGGGCAGTAAAGGGCCTGGGCATCTGTGAGTATATCAGCAACCTGAGGCAACATAATTGTCTCAATTTTTTGTACAAATGTAAGATGTAAAAATATTCCAAATTCAAGGGCACAAATACAATTTAGAAGTATTGTAATAAAAGATGGGGCAGAGTCATTGATGGGACCAGAGAGAGTAGAAGTTGGTTCTTGTTTTTTTTTCCCCAGCACTAGTAGGTCTGTCAGAAGAACTGTTGTGTCGCAGTATGTTCGACAGCCCACAGGCCTGTGTGAAATATCGTTCCTGGGCCCCTTTCCTGAATCGTTCTAGGTGCCTAAACTGGGAACATGTTTTATCCCAGCGAGCTTCAGGAGTGGCCTTCTGAACAAGGGAGAAACATCTGCTGCGGACAGATCTGTGATCATCAGATCTATAGATCTGTAGATCTGTGTCGTCACGTCAGACAGCAGCCCGGGACGGGGCAGAACCCATCCTTGCAGCCAGCCCCAGCTCTCCTGCCTCGTGCTCTGCATGACAACACCAGCTGTTTTCTTATCCAGTTTGTTGGTCTGATTATCCCTGTAACTGCTGTCTCTCCTTTGTTCCCAGACCGGCTGACAAAGTCAGCAGCGACCTGAGGGACAAGGTAACCACTGCCTCTCTCTCCCAGTACTGTACTTGTCTGTGCTGTGGTGGTCGGTGTTATCGCTGACCGCTGGGTGACGGGCCCACTCTGTGGCGGTCAGCGCTGTAACTGCAGGGTGATGGCCTTGTGCTGTGGTGGTCATGACTGTAACTGTCCATGTTGTTGCAAACCCCTGGTCTCACCACGGGCGAGAACAAGAGATCCCATGAACTGTGACGAGACGTAGTGCTTCCTGCTCATGGTCACTATATCGACTAGTATGTGATGTACCAGCTAATAAGCACAGGTTGTGCAGCAGATATTTCACCACAGAAGTCCAGAGCAATATTTCTACTGGATTAAAAGAGATGTATCACAAGCCTGCTTGTTTACAATGCCATAGGGCCGCTTCACGTAAGTTTTGTTGCTTCTTTCTGAATCACAGAACATGGCGCTGCGCGTACCTGGTAATTGTGTCTATTTTGTGATGTAAATTGGAGGTTTTACAAGTGACTGTGTACATTTTATTGTGATTGTGGTTTGAAATGCACTCACCAATGCTGATTCTAACTCCGAAATATAACAATAGTGTTGCAGTTCCGTTTTAAATGAGTTTGTGGAAATCTCACGCCTATAAAGGTTCCCAGCTGTCTTTTGACCCTGCAGATCTTTTACAGATGCACTGGTATGACAGTATCAGGTTAGCGTCTGGCTTGTTTGTGAATCTCAGGCTGTTTCCTTAGCTCAGGCGCTGTGCTGTGTCTTCTCCCTCCCAGTTTCCCACTCCTGCTGTGTCAGTGCTGCCTTCCCAGGATGTCGCCCGGGAGCTCTTTATGAAGCATGCTGCTGCGGTGAGTGTTTCTTCCTGGGACTGCCCCCTGGTCACACAGCCACCGCGAATCTGTGCCCTGCTGTATCAAAATGCGCTGTTCTTGATTCCCGTCAGGGGGGGCGCTGTGGAGCAGTGGAACTGCAAGGCCTGCTGAAGGAAGTCATCGTGACAGGGGGTGAGTGTGGGGGTCAGAGGTCAACTATTAGGTCACACCAGCAGACCATCGCCATTAGTAGTTGTCACAACACGAGTGATGACCATATGAAAGATGTTCTGGTCTTTGCCTCCAGCCCTCCTTGTTATCAGTAAATCAGGAATCAGACAGGAGCCAAGGGGCAGAACCGGTTACACGGGGGTGAGGGACAGGACTGGTTACACAGGGGTGAGGGACAGGACTGGTTACACAGGGGCCGAGGACAGGGACTGGTTACACGGGGGTGAGGGACAGGACTGGTTGCACAGGTGGCCGGAGGGCAGGACTGATTACACAGGGGCCGAGGAGACGGACTGGTTACACAGGGGCTTGGGAAGTTACTAGTTACACAGGGTCCGAACAGAGGGACTGGTTACACAGGGGTGAGGGGCAGGAGTGGTTACACAGGGGCCGAGGACTGGGACTGGTTACACAGGGGCGTGGGAGGTTACTGGTTACATAGGAAAGAAATGGCTGGACGAGATCTTAGGATCAATTGGCTACTAACTACCAAATGAGCTAGATAATCTGAGTGGCCTCCTCTTGTTTGTAGTAGGCAGTGTCTGCAAGGTCAGACACTAAGCCAGTGTACTTGATTCTGCCTCTGTGGGCTGAAACTTACTGGGGCTGCTGCCCTGCACCCTCAGCCATTTACCCACTCACTGCCTGACCTGGGCTTGGGCAAGTGCAGCTGGGCTCTGGTGTTCTTCCATATTAATTTCCTGGGGTGATTTTGAAACCCCCCTTAATCGCACTGCAGTCTGAGCCACCCTGAGGTGCTTCTCACCTTGATCTGGGAGGCCTCTGCACTCTGATCATGATGCAGATGTCCGCTACAGCCCAGTCGCAGGCTGTCACCCACTGTGAGGGAAGCAGGAAGTCACGGTGTGACAGCCAAGGAAGTGGTCTTGAGTTTTTCTGGGGGTTGTTTTCTGTTGCTCTGACTATTTCCTGTTTTCTGTTGGTTCCTGTGGCAGCACTGGCTGGGAGCAGGGAGGGATTTTGCCTGGAGCGTTGCAAGAGTTTTGTGGCACTGATGGATGTATCCTTCCGCCAAAAGACAATAAACAATAGACCCCAAATAGGATTCCCTCTGTCCCCCACCCTCTCTCCAGGGTGGTCAGCCGACACAGTGATTACAAGGAGGCTGTGTGGCAGGGATGGCCAGATCACTGCCACTGAGTAGTGGTTTGATCCATCTCAGGTTTTACAAACTGCAGGATTAGGTACACTCACTGGTTAATTTATTAGGAACCCCTGCCTACAGTTCACTTTGTGTTGATTTGGACAGGCCAAGACTACTACTGGACGCTGGCCATCCATTCCCAAATTGTTTATTCCTTCACACTTGTCCATGATGTCCGGATCTTGTAAGTTCGCACGAATTGACGTGTATCCCTGAGATCTCCCACAAAACACTTCTTGGGTCACTGTAGAAGGTTACAGTTGGCAGGTGTAGGAGCTGCAGTCGCTACAGTCTCTCTGGGAGCTACAGTCTGTCCAGGAGCTGCAGTCTCTCTGGGAGCTACAGTCGCTGCAGTCTGTCTGGTAGCTGCAGTCTCTCCAGGAGCTGCAGTCTCTCCAGGAGCTGCAGTCTGTCTGGTAGCTGCAGTCGCTACAGTCTGTCCGGTAGCTGCAGTCTGTCCGGTAGCTGCAGTCTGTCCGGTAGCTGCAGTCTGTCCGGTAGCTGCAGTCTGTCCGGTAGCTGCAGTC